AAAGGATTAATGCACAGGGATCTCAAGGTTTGTATCCATAGGTTGCTGCATGTGGGAGGAATGTGTCACTGCAGACAAAGCCTGCCAAAATAGCTGATTCCTCTCAGTGACCTCGGTATGGGTGTTTAAAAAGCTGAATTAATGTCTGTGCAATAATCTGGAGGTGCAGTGCTCCAGGAATAAATATTCATCACTTGTTACTGCAATTAAGGTCTTTCTTACAGCAAGACTTCTTGTACCTGGCACAGATTAGTGGCATTTGTCCTATGGTATTTTTAATTCATGTTCTTTGTACAGGGTTGTTCAGTGCTGAGCTATATGACAAAGCTATTTTGGATCCTGTTCTACTATTTCAAGTGAGGCAGATATTTGGCACTGTGGAGCTTGCAGTTGGACTTGATCTTAAAAGTCTTTTCCAACCTAAATAATACTGTGATTCTAATTCTGGTATTTTCCTTCTTTCTATAGCAATACAGCCTAAAATGAGCAGTGTTACTCTTGGTTAGAGAAAGTAAAAATTAAGTAGTGCTGCTCTCGAATTGAAATGTAAACTGTTCTGGAGCAGAAATGTGAGCCAATGCCAGCTGTCACAGTGAAGCTTTCTGAAGGATTCACAGTATTTTTAATGTCTCATAGCATCCAGGCAGTGAGGACTGGGAAACGTGGTTTGCACCTCTGATGTTCAGTGGAACTGAAGTCAGGAGTACCTTGTACCTTTTCTTTCAGTTTGTTCATGATCCTCCTATGCTAGTGCCTGATTTTGCTCTAACATAAAGCACTGGAAGGGTCAGTATGTGTTACCAAATAAATACATTTAATTGAAGAGCCCAGCCAAAGTTGTTATTAGGCCAAGCTCTGAGAAATTAATCACTTGTGCCAAGTGGGGACAGTTCTGTTTCTCTTTGCTTGTTTGAGGAGGCATTAGTACCCTACCTCAGTGGAGTAATTACTGAATTGATTGTGGCTTCTCAGATGGTAATTTGCTATCAGCAGAAGCAAAAGCTAAAAAAATACCATGTCAGATGTGGCAGTAAAAGGAGGTTCAAATTCAGTAATTCTCAAAGGGTATGACAGAGTTAGAAAAACTCATGAGCTCTTCCAAGTATTTTCTTTTCCCATCAGCATTAGGCAATTACCTTGAACCAGTTATCTGACAAATCTTTGTCAGTGCTTGAGAAACTGGCCATAAAAGTAATTAAATCCCTCTACTAATATGTTGCTAGACATGTTAATTAATAACCTTTCTTAACAATACTGTCAATTGTAGCCCTCTGCAGTCTTCACTGAGCTCAGTAAAGTTCAGTAAATCTTATGTAGATCTTCACTTAAAACTGTATTAGTCTTAATCAGGTGTAGAATGTTTTGTTGGAACATCTTAAAAGTTCAGTGCTGGCAGCAGTTTGAACGAGAGATTTAATTTTGTTTACTTGATATAACCAACTTGGAAACAATGTCCCTGGATGAACAACTTCCTCCTTCAGGAAACTTTCTATGCTTGTATAGATGTTATTCTTGGATCCCAAAGTTTATTTGTCTGTTATGTGTTAATTTGGTCAAAACAACAGCCAGTTTATTTAATTATTTTCTATACTTTTCAGAAGCTCCTAGGAAGAGATCTCACCTAATTTTGTAATTTGTCCAAGAGATTGGTCATGCAGCCCTGAGTTGGTGCCAGCACTAACAACTGAACAACCTGCAAAGTTGCTTTGGCTTGGCTGCAGGCAGAGCTCAGTGATAGCAGAGGCCAGTTCTTGCTCCCATTGGCACCAATAATAGCTGTTAGATCTGTGTGAAAATAAATTGCTAGGTGGGCATATTAAAAGATCCAAGAAGTAATCTAAGTATTTAAATTAACAGTGCACATTAAAAATGCATTAATTAGGCTCCTGCTAATCAGAGATACTGTAATGACAAGATGGCAGGAATTTATGTGGGCAAGTGAAGAGGTCAGAGTTCAAATTCTTTTGAAGAAAATGAAGTGCAAAAACAAAGTCTGCCTGTCAAGTGAATTAACTGTGTTTCCTAGGATAAGCTGTCGGTCATGCTTGGCGGCTCAAAAGAAATTATCAGTTTCACAGAACTGCAAGAACAGTCTTGGATACATTTTGCAGTATTAATTGAATTAAACAGAGTATTCCAGATGTGTGAGAAGCTTATTCATGTGAAAAAATGGGAATTCTTATTCTCACTGAAGAATATAGAGGAGAAGTTTCTTTGTGCAGGTGCAAGATAACTAAACTAGAGGGTGGTTATATTTGATTGTACTCTGCTGATGATTTAAATCAAAACTGTCTGCTTCTGCCTTAGGCTTTTTCTTCTTCCAAATGTGATCTTGATGGTTTCTTTTTGCTGATATTTTGCAATAGCAGAGTCCATTCCTCTTATTTGTAGAAACCATGTGCCAGCCTGTTCAGAGACAGTCTGTGTCCAGCCAGAGAAGTATTAAAATAAACTTTCTGTTACGAGGAGTTTTTCCCCAGGAAGCAAGACAAATCTTGCCTTAGATGCTTGTAGGGGGAGGGTGGAGATCAAGGCAATGGGATACAAACTCCTGATGAAGATGTTTATTCCTTGAGCATTAAAATTCTGATATCAAGACTTTTGACCATTGAGTGTGCACTGAGGGATGGGTGCTGTGTAAATGCTTCAGCCAGAGCCTGGAGACACTGGGGGTTTACAGGGCAGTGGCTTTTGTGCCCTGAATGCACTGTGACTCCAAAGGGCTGGATGTTCATTACAGGGAAATACAGTGGAGGGTAAGACCTGGTTCAGAAGGCAGAGGCAGGATGTGGACACTGTGGAAGTGTTTCTCTAGTGCTTCCCTCAGAGCCGGCCATTACCTAAAAAAAAAAAAAAAAAAAAAAAAAAAAAAAAAAAAAAAACCCAAAAAAAAAACCCAAAAAAAATCCTTTTCTCTGTCTTGTTTCTTGTGCACACAGTGGGTTTGTTTTTAACTGAGGAAGTCAGATGGACTTAGAAATAGGTGAGCTTTGTCGTCCTTTATCTTGTGTTAAAATATTGCCTTCTGTCTGACTTCCTGCTCCTGTTGATGTCAGCAAAGCACAGACCATGTTCTCCCAGCCTCAAGGGCCCAGGAGCTCTGAGGGGAGCTTGCCCAGCACCACCTGCCTCTTCGCAGCTTGGCCCTGTACAGCATCCTGCTGCTTCCTTCCCCTTGCAGGATCAGTCTGTTCTTCCCCCAAAACTCTGTGTCTGTACTTGTAACCCAGCTGGAGTGCTTATATTTCAAGGGAATAAGCATTCTTTTGGTGGGTGCTGTTCTATCAGCCAGGAAGCAAATTTATTGAAATAGTCTCTTGGATGTGCACCATTGGCCAAGGGACAGCTCTGTTCCACTCTCTTGTATCAGTAGGCAAAGCCAGGGATGGTGGTGTGTGGCAAACAAGCTAAAGGAGAGTTAAGCCAGATCATCACTGTTGCTGCCTTTATGAATTGCAAAGTTCTTAAGCTTCTACCAAAAATAAACTTTTAATTCCGTTATGCAAACAGCCATTCCCACCTTAAACTGCAGAGTTATACTGAAAATCAGGCCTTGTTCCCATTGTATCTATAACACTGAGATGATGTGCTGTGTGCTGGTTGATAAATACAGCAAACTACTTTTGCACTTAGGGATTAAAATACAGAAGCCCAGGAGATGGAACTGCAGCATGTGGTGTGAAAGTGTCTGGTGAGCTGGGTAACTTACCTGTGCTGTTCTCAGCAGTGCTGACTCAGTGTGCTCCTCAGCAGACCTGTGTGCTGCTAGTAAACCTCTTCTGAATGACAAGAAATGAGCAGTCTGAGCTTCAGGAAGAGACAATGGTTAATGCAGGAGAAATTCCTTTTTCCTGAATAGTTGCAATTCTTAACTGCTATTCTTCAGCACTTTAATAAATGTTTTTAACCTTGACAGCTTCTGTGTTAGAACCAAGTGTTACTACCACTGAAAGACAGACATTTGTTTGTTACTTACTTTTTGTTTTCACCTCTTTGTTTTCTCAGCCTTCCAATATATTTTTCACAATGGATGACATAGTAAAGGTTGGGGATTTTGGACTGGTGACTGCTATGGACCAAGATGAGGAGGAGGAATCAGTTCTGACCCCAATGCCAGCTTATGCCAGGCACACAGGACAAGTAGGGACCAAACTCTACATGAGCCCGGAACAGGTTTGTGCTCTCTTCTCTAAAGCTGTGCTTGGCAGTGCCCGGAAGAGCCCTGAATTTTTGGGAGCTCTAAGATCAGACATTCCTAGTAAACCATTGCAATCAAATAATTTAAATTCATTCTCATAAAAATAGAGTTTTGAGCTAAATTGAATTCCAAAATGAATATTTAAATATATATATTTGTTATAGCAAAAAGAGCAGCTAATTATTCAGACAGGATGCATTCATTTTTCTTGCTTTTAATGCAGTATAGGAAGGTAACTGTAAAAGATTCCGCTTAATTGAACAAGGACACGCTCTGTGCACGAGGTTAAGTGGGATGAAACATTTTGCTTTGCAGCCCAGAGGAGCTGAGGATCAGGACCTTGCTCCCTGGTGCTCATTGCTGAGTTCACCTATGTCCCTGTGCTGCAGCTTTCAGCTCTGCACAGGGCTGGTGACTGCCACAGGTGAACTTACAAGGGTGATATTTACTTTGCAGATAATTGTATGCAGTAGCTTGATTGCCCTGACCCTGACTTTGCCTTCTCAGATCTGTGGCAACACCTATTCGCACAAGGTGGATATCTTTTCTCTGGGCCTGATTCTCTTTGAGCTGCTCTACCCCTTCAGCACACAGATGGAGAGGGTCAAGGTATGTGTGGTGTTGGGTTATCTTCAGTTTGAGCATTTGTTTAAAACAGCTGTTTGCTTGGTGAAACACTGGTGAGAGGTTCCTGTTCTGTTTTCTTTGGAGAAAAGCCTTGCAGCTAGGAGCACAGCTTCTTTATCAGCCTTGTACAGACCCCCCTGAATCACTGAAAATAAACTGCAGTCTTCCTACTGCATGTGGTTGAACTGAGGCTTTAATGTCTTTGCAAAGCTCCTCTGTTGTCAAGCCAAGTAAGAGAAACTGTTGAACTACAATATCCAAGAACTCAAGCAACAAATATAGCTTGTGACTTTAAGCCTACCAGCTTGGTTTTAATTTAAGAATTGGAACCATGCTGTGCATTTTGATTATTTCTTCCTTCTTTTGCATCTTCAGTGCTTTTTCACCCAGAGCACTTGGTGAAAAATGGCTGTTCCTTTTCCTGTAGAGAGTCTTAGCTGTGAGTCTTGCTCAGCTTCAAGCACAATCTTCCCATAACTGATGACATTCACCAGATGTGAATTTGGGATGTTTGATTGTGCATCACAGCTCTTGTATGCTGTTAGAGTGCGAGATTCATCTTGCTCAGGAGCAAGTTCATGGAGAAGAGGGGCTACAGCCAGAAAGGGCTCTCCTCTGTGACAACCAGTGACCTGTGCAGGAAAAAAAGAGACATTAAAACTTGTATTTATCATTTGAATGTGTTTGAGTGCATTACATTCTCAGGTGAAGATGGAGTGGGTTTAGCAGAGAGGTAAGAAACAGCTTGAACAGCAGCCTAAGTGCTTCATCTGTTGCATTCTCTTGATTTAAATGCTCTGGCTTTTAATGGCACAGGGAGTATAGTCTGGAGGAGGAATTGGTGTTTAATTTGAACCTCTGGCACTGAAATCAGTTTCAGTTTCTCTAAATCAGTTATACTGGAACAAAATACCTGGGAAAGAGCCATCCTGGATTGTCACATATCTTGCAGCAGTGATTACAGACTTTGCCCTTCCAGTTTCTCTCCTAAGAATAGAAGCAAAGCAAGTAATCAGAATAAAACCTTAATTCCATCTAATTTGAAATTTTACTTGAAGAGAGTGTTAAAAGAGTGCCCTGACTTTCCAGGATTTTCACTGTCATTTCACTCTTTTTGCTAAAAAGAAACCCCTGCCCTTTCATTGCCAGGTTCTGGAGCTTGGCTGCTTCAGTAGTTATTTCTGTATTGTTACACCGAGGTTTTCTTTGGCATCAGCCAAGCATTAGCACTGCTTGCTGAAGCAAAACACGCTCTGCCTGACCAAATAACCCAGCAAATTCTAGAAATTTGTGAGAACTGGTTGGAAAAATCCCCGGAGGTGGAGCGTGAGAGCTGCCTCTGTCTCAAGCTGTGAGCAGTTAGTCAGTAGCAGTGCAATTTATTTCCAAATGACATGCTGGAAAACAGATCAGTAAATGCAAACTGAACTGTCAGAAAGGGAGAAAAGTTTTCTGAAGCATTTTAATGTCATCAAACTCAGTCCTCTTGAACAGGAGTTTGGCTATTGCCCATCACTATTAACTGGTCACTTTTTACTTCCAGTGGAGTAATAGTGAAATGAATTTTGATTTAACTTTAGAATGCTTGTATTTTGTCCTCAAACTTTTGTAAAAGGAGATCCTTCCAAAGAAACTGAAGTGCTAAATACGGTTCTTCTGGCTGAACATGGGAAAAACACTGTCACTAGATGGAGCCAGTGACCTTTGTATGAAAGAAGCACAGAAATTCCCAACCACAACTGCTTTCCAAACTGCTGATAAATGTTCTCATTCCTCCTTAAATGTTGAACAAAGACAGGTGCTTACATCGATAATGCAGAGACAGTAATTTCATGTGTCTTAATACTGGCGTAGGCCATCTTGGGAGTTATGGGTGGTGCACAGATTTGTTGATTTTGTTCAGGTAAAGTGAGAAAGTACAAGTTCATGTATCCGACTGATTTAAAACTGCAGAGGTCACAATTCTTGTAGCACAACTCTTCCTGTTGCAGGCTCAATACCCAGGGAAGCAGCAACTCGCCTGATCAGCTAGGTTGTGATTTTTAACCACTGAAGCAACACTTTGAAACAAAGGGTTTTCTTTCCAGAAGGCTGATTTCTTTGCATAATATGCATATTTTTGAAGGATAAGGGTAGTATTACTGAAGAATTATATTTTGGAAAAGTTAATGTCATTCTTGATATTTTTGCAGACCTTGAGTGATGTTCGAAATTTGAAGTTTCCACCATTGTTCACTCAGAATTATGCACAAGAGGTAGGTACAGCTCGTGCTATTAATTACAGCTTTTTCATTAATAATTGTAGCTTTTTTCCTTTGCTTTCCAACTGCTTTGCAGGTAAAAATGGAGGAACCAGGTAGCTTTAATGTTAGTAAAATGCATTTCTCTATCCCAATACTTCCCTACATCTCAAAGCTATAACATTGCAATAATGGGCACAATGACATTTCTGTCACAGTTTTCCTCCAGGAGTACATTTTTACCTGGCTTCCCTTTGTCACTTACAGCCATTCATTTCACATACATCCTGTCATGATTTCCTGCAACAAATCCATATTCCCAAAGAGAAAGTGCAACGCTTCAGACAGGTAAAGGAGAGGCTCTAGGTAGTACCATGGCTGTATGGGATCCCCTCCAGAACTGGACCTCCCAAGAGGGAAATCACATGAGCAAATTGTGCTGTGTTCTCATTAGTCAGGGCTGTAAAGTGATGTGGTTGTAGCTAAAGAGAAGGTGATGTACCAAACCTCCCCAGTAAAAAGCTGAGGTGCTTTCAGGTGTACAGGGTAGCTTCAGACCAGTGGCTAAGTGAGACCAGCCTTTCCTGCTTTTGGTCCTGCTGAAGGCTACCTGGGAGAAGGGGCTGTGCTGTGCTCAGCTGGAGCAGAACACTAATTCTGATTAAATTTGAAACAAATATTCAGACTACTTGTATATTTAAAGGAAAAATTCTAATTTGCCATGAGAAAAATTCAATGTGTCTAAATATGTGATGGCTTAAACATTAATTTAAAATTTACATATAAATTATGTCTCATAAATGTGATTTTGATTGCAAATAATGTGAAATTTTTTATAACTCTATTAAACCTTCTGTCCAGTGACAGTAAGGACACTTTAAGAGATGCACAGTGATACGTTCTAAAATATTTAGTGCACATCTAACTATTGAGCCAAAGCAGTAACACCCAATAACTCAGAAAGCAGCTGGGGGTATTTTCCACTGGTTCACACAGCCACAGCTGACACCAGGACATGAAATGAGGAAGAGTTTATGGATTGGTTCATGTAATATATGTTGTGTTTTCTTTCAGTACACCATGGTGAAGGACATGCTCTCTCCAAGTCCCACTGAACGACCAGAGGCTGCAGCAATCATAGAAAATCCTGTCTTTGAGGACTTGGAGCTCCCACCCAAACCCATGCTCAGGCAGAGGTCACGGACAATGAGCCTATCAGGAAATAAACATTCCAGACAACCAAGCAAATAACTATCCTCAGGATCACTTCTTCCACTCGGCAGGTTTCACAGGGATTGTTCAGCAGAAGGATCCTATGATGCAGAATGTTTATCTTGGGAATAGTTTACTTCAGCCTTTTTTGCCATGTTTAATGTATAAGACATCTTGGACAGATTTTTGTTTACTTTGACAACCAACGAAGCCAAGTAACCAAACCTTTCACATTCCATTTTCCTTACCTTTGCTCTCCTAAGCAGATGGGTCCAGCTGCTGTGCTTGCCAATATTGTGCTCCATTATCCTTTTTTGGGGGGGTTTCTTGGGTTTTTTTTGAAGCTTGTAAATGTCAGCTTGCTGGGTGAGTGAGAGATCTGTAACATGTAAATAGAATTAAAATACTGTATTTTTATAGAGCGAATTACAGTCTCTAAGCCTAGTGAGTGTCTATGCGGGTCACTTGCTCTTTGGTGAAATGAAGATGATTTTGAAATTAACTTTGACTCCATTTTTGTCCCTGGTGGGTAAACTGGGAATCTGCACTATTTTTAAAGCAAAAAAGTACCACAGTTGTACATATTGTCACTGTCCATAGCCTGTCATTAGAGGAAATCATTTCACACTTCTGCACTACAGTAGATCTTAGGGATTGCATCTTACACGGATGAAGCTGTAGAGAAGGTTAAGGAGCTTTTTGCCATTAAATGGGGGTTTTATAGGCAGTGGTTGGAAGAGCCATAGTCAAAATTATGTACAAAAATGTTGTGATTCTGAAAATTTAAACCTAATGAAGTCATACATGTCGTATGTAATCTTGTAGATTTGTACTTTTTGAAAAAATCAACTGGTAGGCATTTGTGTAATCTGCTAATTTAACTGCCTAATGCCATGCTTTTATTTCTCACTGTAAATATGTTAATTTTTATTTATAAAATACAGAATCAATCCATTTGGGTTGGTGGTGTACAGGATGCACTTGCTGTAATTGTTGAGTGCATTGATTATTGTGACTTCTTTCAAGTCTAAATGATTTAATAAACTTTTTTTATTTATAAGACAAAATAGTAGTTGCTTCTGTTGGAAGCCTGCATCGGTGTGTGCTGCAGATGGCAGCCCTGTGCAGTGGGAACAGGATGGGCTCTGCATTCCTGAAACTTCTTTGCTTCCCTGTCTCACCCTGGCCACAGCATGTGTGGTGACACAAAACCAAATGTGCTGCTTGGAAGTGAGACAGGATCTGGAGAAATAAGGGGATTGAGCTCTAAACTGGGTGGATTATGGAGGCTCACCAGAGAGGGGAGGAGAGATAACTCTTATGCTGTTAGAGCTGTTCTTGAACAATTGTGTTTTTCTGTTTTACAGACTTAAATTTGTTAAAAGTCTCTGAGATCAGTTTCCTAAAAAGACACTGGATTCAAATCCTTCTGGGGATTACTCTGCTGTGGTGTGACACTGTGACCAGCAATTAAACCAGCTGACACCCTGCAGCTTTATGATAAATCAGGAGTAGATTACAATGATTGTCTTCCATGTTCTCTTGGATAATGCTCCTAGGTACTGGCTTGTCCAGGGGAAGGCAGAATGCTGCAGTGAGTATCTGATCAGAACAGAATTTGTGTTTGGCTGGGTTAAAGCAGGAGAGTTGTGTCCTCTTCCCTTGGATGTCCCTGTTTGCATCAGCTGCAGCTGCACAGTGAAATGGCCCCGTGTGGAGCCTCTTTGCCTTCCCTGCCAGCTCAGTGATTACAGGTGGGCCACTGCAAATGAGGATTAAGGTATTTTTAATTTACTGTATATCTGGATGTGGGCAACTGCCTGTTCCAAGGGCCCTGCAGTATTTCAGTACCAGAGCTAGCATAGGTGTTCACACCAGGTGTCTGCATATTCTGGGATGTGATATTTGCTCTCAAAGGGGTGGATGAGTCCTCTCCTGTGGGTTCCTTGGCCAGCCACAAAAGCATTGGCCATGCTGAGCTCTGAACTGCCTGGCCAGTCTTTGCTTCTCTAAGCACTGGAGTGTGTTCTCCCTGTCTTTTCCCTTTTTGCTCCAGGGTTTGACAGAGAAAGGCTCTTCTCTAATCTGAGAGGCTTTCCTTTGAATGATGTGTACTTTCCTGCCAGCTGTTTTGTGGAAGAGCAGCCAAACTGGGATAGTGTGAGTCCACAGCTCTGCAAAAGGGCCTTTGGCCTGGGGTTCTGCTGTGCTGTGCAGCATCGTGCTCCTGTCCCATTCTTTCACAGGATGTTGCCTATCCCTCAGCTCCTTTCCTCCCCCATAGCTCTTGGGAATGAAACCCCATTCCTTGTCCTGTTTATCAAAATGACCTGGGTGGCAGCAGCAGGATTTCTGCCCTGTCTGCCTTTGTGCCCATGGGATGCTTCCCCCAGAATAAGGTAGGTAGTTACCACTTCCATGTTGTTGCTGGAGTTGTAGGGTCTGGAACACCTCACCCTCTCCTCGTCATTTCACACAAGAACCACTCTTGAACCCCAGGTCAGGGCTGTTTTTTCACCAGGCTCTTGAGAGAGAACTTCTCACCCTTGTGCTGGCATCTTCAGTAGCTCAGATGCTCCAGGCAGGTCCTCCTGCATTTTGCCACCTCTGAGGACAGTCCCCTGCTACCTTTTCAGAGTAACCCTCCAGTGAGGCACTTGTGGCTTTCCTGCAGGGAGCCAGTGCTGTTGGAAGTCCAGACAAGCACTTGGGAGTAGTAAAAATAATAATTTCCATTTATCATGATTTTTTTTTTTTTGTCTCTGTGGTAGATACCACAGTGTACACAGAAGTAATAATTCCTGTTTGCATCCCATCTTCAGATGGTGTCAGCCACCTGTGGCTTTGAAACTGCAGTGGTCCTGCTGTTACAGCAAGTCTTTGTCATCTCCTGGGGTCTGCCACAGGGCATGTCCCCTTCCAGAATTAACAAGGAAACCCACAGATAATTCACAGAAGGCCACAGAAAGTTCTGAATATCCAGATGTTGCAGAAGCCAGTGAGCTGAACCCCAAGCAGCAGCCCAGGCTGCAGAGTGGTGCCTCTTCAGGAAGTGAGCACATCCCCCCTCTAATTCCCATACACAGACTGGTACACGTGGAGTTATTAAAACTGGTCAAATCTGTCATGAAACTTCGAGATGAAGAGCTGCAGTGGCTTGATAAGAGACGCTGTCCCACCTGACACAGATCACCAGGATGTGCACAAATGTAAGGTCACGTTGTACCATACTGGTTTGGTTTTTTTTTACCTAACATGAAAGTTGAATTTCTTAGAAAATGCTCATTAGAAAAATAATTATCCAGGAATTAATTAGTTCCATTAATATATAGCAGATTGCCCCTAAAATATCTGAGTTCCTCGTTGAAACTGTGGAAGGTGAAGAAATGCATCTTTGTGGTATTGTCCCCAGCTGTAATATTCCAGCCCCTGCTTCCCCTATTTTCCTACCCTCTGTTTTTCCATTGGGATGTGCTCCAGCACTTTCTGTATCACCACCTCCAGCGCCTGATCCCGAATCCCTATGACTTGGCTTTGCCCTTCGGGGCGCCGTTGGGCACCGTCACGCTGTATTCCAGCTCTGGAGCAGTCTTGGAAAACGTGGCTATGGAAACCATGTCTTCTCCAACATCCACCTGAGACCTGCGCCGGCACAGGAGCAGCTTCTTGAGGGCGTGCTGGAAGTCCCTGTTGAGGAAGGCGTAGAGCAGGGGGTTGATGGTGGAGTTGCAGTACCCCAGCCAGG